ACCCCTAAACAATAGTAGATAGATGCATGAATTCAAAGGTACGTGAATGCCTTCCTGGCAAAGTGTTTAAGATTATTTGTAGAGTCTTGAGATTTTTACCTACTAGTTCAGTTAATAGTTGACACTGTTTCAAAGATACGGACTAAGAATTTATATCCAAAATTCCCTATATTTATCTGGAGTAAACCTAAGCCTTCTTAGGCTGCTCATCGCTGAACTTCAAAGACAACAGTACTTTTCCAGAAATAGACACAGCTAAGCATTGACTTAATTCATGTTCTCAAACCCTGGAACTTGTGTCTTCAGGCAGTGAGTTTGGGGAAAATGTGCCCTAAAATGAGGAAGGCAGCATGACCTAGACTGAAGGGCTTGATATTACTCATGGGTTTGTTTGAAGAGAAGTGAAATATGATGTGCCATGTGATCCCATCATATGCTGAAAGAAGCTGCCCATGCTTACTTCCTTTGGTGAATGACTTTCTAGGTGAGAGACACTCTTATTGGAACCTCTTTCTGGGGGACATTACGAATAGTTAATTTGCCTATTATGGGTAGAAAATTCCCGGAGGATTGTCAGCTGCACACAGAGGGCCTAGAGACACTAAAATACACTACCTTAATATGAAAATATATTAATTAAAGATGCAGGAGAGTAATTTAACCTGAATTGGAAGTAATTTTGAAGTTGGTTAGGGTTTATTCTGGGGTTAATTAGATGGCTTTTGTTGTGCTGTTTAGGGTAATAACTTTGTCCCTGGCAGTTCACATATATCCATTTATTCTTCATGACTTAGGCTTCATGAACATTATTGAACATAAAGTGTTTGATACCCGTGGTCGCAATGGTAACTTCTTTTCCCAATGACTGGAATGCACAGATGTAATCCGAGCCTATAGTGAATAGCCATCACCACCCTTCCTGCCCCCAGGAGCCCTGCACCCCACTCTGATTAGCGGTGAACTACGTAGGGTGTTTTCCGTGACCCTGGAGGACACTGGGCTAGTCCTTGGATTCTTCAATAGGGGTTTACAGGTCTTCAGGGAGTCTGTAAGTCAGCCTTCTGCAATGATGAGCACAACTTTGTACATCTGTCTCTCGGCCCCTTCTCCCCAGCATGACTCCATAGATTTTTATCCAAATTAGGTGACCTCCAACAAAGCTTGAGGGCAGCTTTGCCCTTTACACTTCACCCTATTCCCACCAACAACAGACATACTCACAAGGGAGAATGCTGGCTTAAAGAGGAGGCTGACCATTATTGACTGGCTGGAGTTGTCAAGGTGGGGAGCCTCTTGAGGCCAATTAGCTAAGGGAGTGGCTGGCTAGGGAAGGGAGGAAGGGGGATTATAGTGAAGATGCCCTAGGTAAAGGCTTTCAAATTTTGCAAAAAAAAAAAGAAGCAGTGGCTGATCAAGCTAAAAAGTCTGTTCACCTTTGCAGTGATCGCTTTTACGATAATAAAGAGAAAAAGGAGGCCTCCTTACTGGGTGCTTATGACGTGATGTGTGGTAACGTACACACTTTAGCTGGCACACAGTAGGTGCTTAGCTGTGTGTGCGTTCCCACTGTAAGCCGTCCCCTCCCCCCATGGGCCTGAGCCTCCAAGCGTGGAGGCCTTTTTCCCAGAGGCATTGCAAAGGTCTGCTCTTTCTGGCCTTGCTGTAGGCAGCGGACCTCATACACCTGCACGTCTCCAGGGGCCTCAATCGCAGACTGTGGTCTGAGTGACACCCCAGAGCTGGGCAGCTTGGTGGCCCTTCTTTATTGTTTTTTTTTTTCTTTTCGATGGCCCTCTTTTGTGTCTTCACTGTTGATTGTGTTTTGTAGGCATTAGATCTAAACCACTTATACTTGTCAACACGTCTGTGGCCGCCCCTGTGGCTTCCAACAGTGGACCCACTGTTGGCACGTCTCTCCTTTCACTCCTGACTCCTCTAGCTTTTCTCACCCTTCTTAGCTTGTGTTAGAAAGGCGTTGGCCAGCCCAGCAAAGGACTCCTTTCCATCTGAAGTGTAAAAGGCTTCATCACATAGCTTTCGGGCCTTGGTTTTTACAAGGAATCTCCTTCCAGATTTATTGAAGGGCTGGTCCTTCATTGTCACAGGAGGTGTGTGTGTGTGGCAGGGGGTGCTTTTTGGTTTTCTGCTAATCAGGTTATTTTCAACTCATTCCAGGTCAGGGTTCTCTGCCTTGGGTGCACGTTAGAATATCTGGGCAGCTTCGAAAAATCTCAATGCTCAGGCCGCCTTCCAGAATAATTAAATCAGCGTATCTGGAAGTGGGACTCAGGCTCATTGTTTTTTTAAACCTCTCTAGGTGATTGATTCTAACATGCCCTCAAAGTTGGTAACTACTAATACAGGCTAAAATCCTCAAATGCGAGAAGGCTGAATTCCATTTCATGGAGGCTTGATTTTATATTTAAAAACAACAAAGCTTCCTAACCTGCAAATACATGTTTGTTTGTGTGAAACATACTCTGTATAAAAAAAATTCACATAAATGGAACATGACCCAGATTTTTGTTGTTTTACCCATGCTTTTAGGGAAATCTAAGGGGTTAAATTAGTTGCTTCACAAATAGATCCAACTCTAACTATTGTAGAAAAAAATATATGTATTCATTGTCGTCTTAGTCCCAAATTGAACACAAAGTTCAGAAAGCATTTTGGCCTGTATTTTTAGCTTAGCATAAAGCTCTTGGTCTGGGAGACAAATTTCAAAATAGTTTGTTGCCTAAAAATACACTTCCTGAAATGAACTTGAGGCCTGAGAGGGATGAATGGTTTTTTTTTCTTCTATATTTAATGTTACCACAAGAAAGCAAATCTTAAATTTATATATGTTTGTATTTTTAGAGACCCAGGAAACAGGTGCCGTGCCCAAGCGACGAGGGTTTCGTGGCAAAGTGTGGATGACAGAAATCAAAAATTCACGGGACAGAGAGATACCGTGGGAGGGCGTTGAAGTTGTCTGTCTGGCTTTAGGCAGGAGCATACTTGACACAGCAAGGAGATGAGGAGCCTCTCCTCAGGCCTTTCCGAGGAAGAGCCCTGGGAGAAGCACACCTCCCAATAGCCAGTGGCTGGTCCAGTGCTATAGGTGGTCTAGGCACGTAATCTTTCTTAGTCTAGCCTGAAAGTGTCTCTAAGTTCATGTTTGTTGACCAAATGCCTCGTAACCTTGTCTTACTTCACTTGACTCTCTAAACTCAACCCTTTATTTATTTATTTTTTTAAAGATTTTATTTATTTGTGAGAGGCAGAGAGAGAGACTGAGCACGAGCAGGGGGAATGGCAGGCAGAGGGAGAAGTAGGCTCCCCACTGAGCAGGGAGCCCGATGTGGGGCTCCATCCCAGGACCCTGGGATCATGACCTGAGCTGAAGGCAGACACTTAACAGCTGAGCCACCCAGGCATCCCTAAACTCAACCCTTTAATTTCCACTTTTTCTAATAGAAATGGATCTCTTGGAGGAAAAAGATGGGGCAGGCGGTGTTACACCTTTTTTAATGGTCTCTCAACATGTAGCATGTGTTTTGCTAAGAACGGTCTGCCTTATAATATGCTATAGATGACTGTGAATGAATATTGCATTTATAATCACCACCCTCCCCATCTGAGTGAAGAAGTTCTATATCGTTTCCCACTTGGTATAAAGAGCCAAATGTGAACTTCTTATATTCAGTCCTTGTGTATTCACTATTCACTCACTCATTCAACAAATTTCGGATACCTTCTATGGAGCAGGTCCTCTTCTTGACACTGGAGACCCAGTATGTAAACAAGGCAGACAAAAGCTCAAGGAGCTTGCATTCTGGTGGATAGATTATAAACAAGTAAGTGAGTGAGATGGTTGTGCAGGAGATAAAACAGAATCCTGTGCCAGTTACTTGTGGGCTGCTTTAGGATGAAGAGGTGACATTAATTGGCGACCAGAAAGGGGACAAAGGGAATTGCAAGTGAAAGGCTCTGAGGAGGAGGGAACTTGGCTTCTTCCAGGGAGGCCCATGTGTCCTAAAAGGTAATGAACACGGAGTAAATATGGTTGGTGGTGGGGGATGAAGTCAGAGAGGTGGCGGGGAGCAGACTCTCAAGGTGGAACTCAGCTTTTCCACACCTGCAGGACTCCAGTGCTCTGAGCCTCGCCAGTGTTTGGGATTCTGTCTCAGAGACAGTCAGTGTTGGTTAATCACCTGATTTCCCTCAAAGCAATTAGAACCAGCCTTTTTTTTTTTTTTTTTTAAGATTTTATTTGTTTATTTGAGAGACAGAGCACAGAGGGAGAGGGAGAGGCAGACTCGTTGCTGAGCAGAGAGCCCGATGCGGGACTTGATCCCAGGACCCTGAGATCATGACCTGAGCCGAAGGCAGACACTTAACTGACAGCCACCTAGGCACCTCTAGAACCAGTCTCTTGCAAAGAAGGCCCTTAGAGCTCTTCCTATGCAGCTCAGGAGAACGAGGGCAGTGTCCTGCCTCACCTACAGTGTCTCCTCTGAGTTGGCCAACACCCTTTCGTGCACTGCACAGCTCTGCTCCATTGTGACCTGTCTCTGCCCATCTGGGTGGTGACTCTTGTCAGGATCCCGTATCCTCTGTGCTTCTATTTTGGTTTACCCTACCCTCATCTGTTTCCTTGTCTATCTACTCAACTAAAGGATAATTTCCTTAAGGTAGCATTCTGTGTGCTCCTAGCACCCAGCACTATGCAGTGGACCAATCAGATCTATGTTTCTTGATTGAACGATTGTGTTTGGAGATAGAGTGCCTTACGATAATCAAGGACAAAAGCAAGAAGTTACTCAAACCTCCCCCCACCCCAGCCATACCCCCCTGCAGTGGTTTTCATTACAAATTGCCTACGTGAAGGAAATTCTAATCTGATGTGAAGGCATTACTTTGGTTCATTTGAAATTGCATAACACCATCAGGAATTCACTGGCAGGCTGCCTAGCGGTGAGATACTCATTTAATGTGTCTTTCTTTCCTCTCCCCAGTTAATAATGACATGATGGTCACTGACAACAATGGTGTCATCAAATTTCCGCAATTGTGTAAATTTTGCGATGTGAGATCTTCCACCTGTGACAACCAGAAATCCTGCATGAGCAACTGCAGCATTACATCCATCTGTGAGAAGCCACATGAAGTCTGTCTGGCTGTCTGGTAAGGTGGCCTTTGAAAATCTCCGTTTTGCCCTCCTTTTGTAAGTGATGCACAGCGGGGTACATGGAGTCAGGGCTCTCTCCATGCCCCCTCACACGTCCCTTTCTTTCAGGCCATCTCTCTTTCAAATGATTACATGTAATTTCCAGAGAGATTCTGTCCTTCCTCAGACACATACACACCCATGTGTATCTATATTAATGTGCGTGTGACAGGATATAAGATGACCGTTTATGTTTACAATAAATCCGAGCCCCTTCTCTGTATGAAGGAGAGACATTTGCCACTTGTCATTTTAATTGACACCTGCTTGGTACCCCAGAGGGACACCAGGAGCTTTGTTCTTCTGAGGCCATCTCCGTCTTGTTCTGTGGAAGGAGAGGAGATGAAAGGTGGGCTGTTGGAAGAGGAAAGCTTTTGTCAAAAAAAAGGAAGCTTTTTGGAGAACCAGAAGAACAACCCATTCTGTACTCAGAAGCCCTGGCCAGGTCACTCACAGCACCACCGGCTACATGCAACATCTTCTTGGATCAACACTGCGTATTTCTCTTAGATCACATTCCCTCTCTCCCCCCCCCCATATTCCCTTCATATTCTCTCTCTCTCTCTCTCCCTCCCTCCCTGTCCCTCTCATTCCCCCCACCTTAACACACACACACACACACACACACACATACATGGTGCTCACAAATCCTTTGATTCCTTCATAATTACAGATTGGGAGTATGAGCAAGAGATAAAAGGAAAACAGATTAAAAGAGCCCTCCTTTTATAAAAATGTATAAATTTGTTAATGAAATGTAACATTTATAGACTTATTCTGATGTTTTGAATTTATCAGCCAATTTTTTTTTAAGTAACCTATGTGTCTCCTGGCCAGGTGGCAAATGAGAATATAAACCCAAATATCACCCCCCTCCTCGTTGGGGGAATAAGTCTTTTGACTACATATAGTTAGACTTGATGATAGATCTGGAAAGCTTGCAAATTTCCATACATACTGCAGATGAACTAGTTTGGCAAGCACGAAAAGAATGTTAACAGCAAAGAGCTGTCATGATACCTTGTTGTACCTGCCAACTTCATTCAGGTCCGGTTCTGAGCAATGCTTTTGCAAAAGGGATTTTGACAAAGATCGTGTCCAGAGGCAAAGGGGCCAGTATGATTGCAGGCTTAGGAAGTTGGTGATGTGAGGAATGGCTGATGGAATCAGACACAGCAAGTCCAGTAGAGAGAAGACATGGATGAGTTCTGTTAAGAGATACTGGACGGGCTCTCAAGTAGAAAATATAAGAAACTTGTTCTGTGTAATTCTGAAGGGCAGAAAGAGGATCCATAAAATTTCCCAGGGGACAGACTTCAGTATAAGTTTAAACATTTTCACAATCGTGCTTTCCCAACAACAAAACAGGCTTCCTCCTCTGAGGAGTCAAAGTTCAGGAGATGCTGGGGGACCACCCATCAAGTCTAGTGCAGGAAAGATTGAGACGCCAGATTGGGTGACCTCAGCTCTTCTTCTTTGCTTCTGTTCTCTGCTGATCATCTTCACTTGAATCTGCATGGTGGCAGGAGAGCTTACTTCGGCTACCCCAAACAGGCTCATCTAATAAAGTCATTTTTTCTTGACCCACCTTACAAACCCCAACTATTGAATGTGAATCAAGTCTCTCTAGGATTCCAGTCTCTGTAATGAAGCATTATGTTACTCGCTGTCTCAGGAAATGTGAGCATGTAGGGGAGAGGAAACCTCCCTGTCTCCTCACTGTTCCTACCCTAAAGAGTTAATGCAGTGAATGTTGTTTGTACCTGTCTCGACAAGACAAACACTCCTGTGGAGTGGAATGTCAGGAAGGAGAAAGGGAAGTGAGTGGTGCTGTGGTACACCTCGCTGATCCCCCTCAGCACTGAGGCACTCCCCCCCTCAGCAACTGGCAGCAGTAGCTGCTGAGGGATCACCCCGAGTCCCTCCAGGGGACTACCCGCACCCCCACCCCCACTCACTGGAGCTTCTTCCCTCATTTGGCCCCTCCTCAAGTTTGCTCCTCTCCATAGGCAGTCAGCATCCCATGACTGGTTGATGCCAGCGTGCAAAATGCCTGGCCGCTTGGCCTCCTTCAGGGTGGGTCTGACCGGCCATCTTAACTTCCCGGCTTCTAAGGGATCAGTGAGTCGGTTGCTGCGATCTGCATCGTGGCTCCACCCCCACTGTGTGCGGGGTGCTGCTTCCCTTACAGGTGCCTTTCCAAAAACTCTCTGCACAGAAATCTCACAGCCTTAAGGTCTGTTTCCAGGGAACGCAAACTAACAGCCAGATGTGGAAACTGAAAGGCTCTACCCTGGTAATACATTGCAGTGCCTTTATGAGTCTTAGTGTTCTTTTCATTCATTTGCTGATTTGTTTGTTCATTTAACTGATGGCAGTTATGCACCCATACCATGTCAAATGTGTAAGTTCTTTCCAAGGATAAAAATCTTGTGGAACCAAAATTAATTTTATTGTCGTGGTTCTTTTGTGAGTGGATAGTGACAAACCTCTTCAATGGCTCAGGGCAAATGTTTCAGGACAAAGAAAAAGTCTGTATTTGGTTCATTATATTTTCCCTTCTTATGCTCAACTGTATCCAAAGATATTTTGCAAAGTCAGCTCTGCCTGCCAGGGAACACTATTATAGGAGTGAGTGGGGGAAGAAGTTAAGGACTTGCCCCAGGCTCAAGTATTCTAACTGAATTTCCTCTCTGCAATTTTAGTCCTCTAAGCTACAAGGGGGTGGAAAGCAAGAGGCTCTGGAAGAGCTGCGCAGTAGTTATAGAGCAGCTTTACATCAGGACTCACAGTTCCTTCTTCATTCCATTCCTTGGCTTCTAGAAGCTTCCCAAGGAAGAGACATCATGCTTTTACCTGGGGGCACCAAAGACTCAGCATGCCTTCATTTTGTTACCCAGACCAGAAAATAACACACACACACACACACACACACAGACACACACACACACCACTACTGTGGGGACAGGGAGGAAGGTGCTCTTGTTTCATGGCTGCCATTTTTGCCAAGACTTCCCAGGAGCTTTGGGGTTAAAGATAAATGGATTTTTAAACATACATAGTTTGTTGTGTGATCATGCCTTCCCTGCTAGCCACGCTAGAATAAGAATTCCAACTGTGGCGCTCCCTTTACCAGTAGAGACCTACTTAGCAAGGGCTTGCTCCTTTTGTGCCCACTTGAGTGTTAGTTCCAGAACCAGAACCCTTGAACTCCTTCACAAGAGCATGGATGGCTCTCCTGGAGTCAGCTCTGGGTTGCATGGAAGTCAGCCACATTGACTCCCTTCCTGGTTGGACTGTTCCATCTGCACCCTCACTTCTGCTCTTCTTATCGCCTTGTTGACATATCATCCTTTTGTGTCCCTAGTGGTGGCGCCATCCAAATTACTCTTTCCCGTGGATATGGCCCTGCCTGTTTTCCAGGTGAAGGCTGTATTTTCGCTGCTTCTTGCCTCCAACCTGCCTGCCATTCTGTTTGCTGCAAACAGTGAGCTTGGGAGGGGGCGGTGGGGGAGTGGCTGGTGAGTGTGAGCAGGCATGCAGGCACATATGGACCCTCAACCGCCGGCACTCAGAATCCTTCCCAGGGAAGATTATGTTCGCAAAACTGACCACCATTCAGTTTAGCCAGATTAGCCCATCCCTAGACCCCCCCTCCAGATGGAGAGAGGACCATTCAAGACAACAGGTATTTTGCATCTGAAATGGTCGGAGATGGGAGGAAAGAGGTCAGCCCAACCTTGGTGTTGGACAGAACCATCCAAGATGGCACGTTTATGAGAGAAGCAGATTGAAAGAGGCAGAGAATGATACACTTTTCCAAGGATGCCAGAGTTTTATTTTGGCTTTTGCAATTATAATAGTGGGCATTAATCATGTCATTTTTAAATGTACTATACACGGGCACCTGGGTGGCTCAGTCGTTAAGCGTCTGCCTTCAGCTCAGGTCATGATCCCAGAGTCCTGGGATCGAGTCCCACATTGGGCTCCCTGCTCCACGGGGAGCCCTGCTTCTCCCTCTCCCCCTGCTTGTGTTCCCTCTCTCGCTGTCTCTGTCTCTATCAAATAAATAAATAAAATCTTTAAAAAAAATTAAAAAATAAAAAAAATAAATGTACTATACACATAGAGCCCACTGGGCGCTTTCTAGGGCCTCAGTAAAATGCCACGGGAGAGCTTCTCAGAGCCCTTAGCAGACACGTGAAGTGAAGGGATGCTACATGTAGATGTAATTGGTTCATGACAGTGTAAAATATTTCACTGAACTATAAATGAAGAACACCTTGTAGTTCTTTCCCATGTGTTTTCATTTTTTCCCCTTCCGTTCCTTTCTGTGAGGCAGGGAAACTGCCAATGCTTCATCTAGGAAGTGTGTTCCATGCCTTCCACACAGCCAGCTGCCGACATGGATACGCCCTCACACGGAGCCCTCTGGGGCCCAGCAAACAGACTCGAGGAACGGCCACGGCGTTCCCAGGAATGCTCTTGGAGCACAGTTGGGCTAGACGTGACCCTGTTCCTGTGAGATACACTGGGGATGCAGTGTGAGCCTGGCAGGGCGTTCAGGATGGAAGGTTTAACCCTGAGGACCTCGCAGTCTTCGGTTTACCATGCCTTCCTGTCTTCTGGTTTAATTAAGACTTAATGCGTAAGGTTCTCCAGCTGGACAGCCCCCAGGGAAAACCTTCATGTTTACACTCTTAAATGGGTTTTGAGAATACGCAATGGAAAAAGCGAAATGAGTAGAAAAAGCACAGGAGACTAGAGGACAACCTGTTAACGTGGGAGAACAGGAACCAGCTGCCATTGTTCAAAAAGCTTTGGGAAGGAAATACAGTCCAGATTGCTTTTCTGTCCAGGGGGCCGTATTCATCCATTCTTTTCTCTCTTCTCTCCCCTGCCATGAACTTCTGCACCCTAGGAGAAAGAATGATGAGAACATAACACTAGAGACGCTTTGCCATGACCCCAAGGACACCTACCATGGAATCGTTCTCGAAGATGCTGCTTCTCCAAAGTGTATTATGAAGGAAAAAAAGGTGTTGGGCGAGACTTTCTTTATGTGTTCCTGTAGCTCCGACGAGTGCAATGACTATATCATCTTCTCCGAAGGTGAGTTTTCTTCCCTCGAGGGTCAGGAGCCCAGCTTCCTCTGTGTCCATCTCTGTGTCCCTGGTCCGAGGTCTCAGACTCCATCTTCTGGGACTGGAGAGGGAGCTTACACTCTGTGGATTAGGAACCCAGTCACCAGGCGGGACGAGGTGCTTCAAGAGTGACAGGGTTCATTCTGGCCCATAGCCAATGTGGCTTATAGGACCCACATTATTATTTGCCTTCAACCGACAGCAGTGGTTCTTCACACAGTCCCTGGAGTGGCAGCAGCAGCATCACCTGAGAAATTTCCAGCAACGCAGAATCTGGGGCCCCACCCCAGCCTGTGGAAGCAGAAACTCTGGGTGCAGGCCCCTCAGTCTGTGTTTGAGCAAACCCTCCTGGGGATTCTGATGCTGCTCAAATTTGAGAAATGCCAGTCTGGAGATTGGAGGAGCCTGTTGGATACTGGAGGGAGACTTATTTGGAAGGAACTCAGGTGGTTTTGTGTACATGTTCTTAGGATTTGTCTGAAGAGTACTTGTTAATGCTCCCATCTGAGAGAAGAACTGAAATGCAGAGGGCAAGTAATGAGCCACAGTTTACCCATGGAGGCAGCGAAAGGCGAGGTTAGATGCTAGCCTCCATCTTTGAAGTTTAGGATTCGCTCAGCTTGAAAGGAGGGCACACACTACTCCTTTAGTTTAAGACATTATTCAGTGATTTTCAACTACAGAATAGAGTATGTTCCTTACCAAAAATTCAAACAGTCCAACATGTAAATATTTTTCAGTGGAAGTACATGAGCCTCATCCCCTCACTCCCGACTCAACAGATAATCAGTGTGGATAGTTTGTTGGATGTATATTTTTCTCTATCACTCATTTATATTATCCCTCCTTACCTCCTCTCTTTCCCTACTTCCTCCCTTTCTCCCTTCTTCCCTTCTTCGATCCATGTATACATCCAACCATCCATCCATCTATCCAGCCATCTGCCCATCCATCTATCCGTCCACCTGTCCGTCCATCCATCCATCCATCCATCCACCTCTCAGTGCAAATAGCTGATCATACAGTAAATACTATTTGATAATATTTTTTTTCACCCAACCACTTTTACTCTTCCTTTTAAATAAGACAATACATATGGATATACTACATGCCTCTTAATTATTGTCTAGAAATCCCATAATATGGATTATCTTCTCTGGCTGATTTAACCATTCCCCTGTTGGTAGATTATTAAGGTGTCTCCATTTTTCCTACATTGAATATCTTTGTAAAAGTGTCTTGTACATTTGTGCTAATATTTCTGCAAAATAAGACTTGAATTTCATTTCTAGAAATGAAATTTTGGATCAGAAGTTATACACATTTTAAATCTGGATAACCACTACTAAACTGTTCTCCTCCCCACAAAGATACCTGAGTATACAGATTTCCATGTCCCTTCTTTAACACTGGAGATCATAAGCCTTTTAATTTTGCCAGTCGGATAGTGAAAATAATATTCTCTTGGTTTTAGGAATGTAAATTCAGAGTGGGGAAAGATTATTTTAGCCCCAAAATAGGTCTGATTCAATAAGAGTTTCGTTTAGAACATAAGTTCTGGGCTTAACACACTATCCCTGCTACCCTGTATAGCCCAACTATGGAAAATGATGTCTCACGCTTTGTGTTTGGTGCCTGCCCCCACTGCTGACCCTTCTTTTTCTCTCTCTGTGTCCTTCACCTACTGCCATTTCCCTGCTCTTCTTGTCCAACCCCTTACCAACGCTAACTTCTCAGTGTCCACAGTCAGACATGTTCATCTTGTCAGCGCAACACTTTCTAAAATCATTCCTCCCTCCTATTTTCTCATCCTATATACTCCGTTTCTTACATTTTTCTTATGTAATTTGAGTGAGGAGGGAAGGTGTAACTATATTAAATCACGCTAACGCATGGTAACACCTGATATCCTGACTTAACCTGTTAACTTTCCCCAAGTAGTTCACCTTTTCAAAGAACTCCCAGTTTAAGCCAAAGGAATTAATCTCTAATAGCAGAATATCCAAACAAGTTTGTTACCATCCATGAAACTTTTCTCTCCTTTTGCGTACTGGCTTATCCACAACGGAAGAGTTTATTTTGTCTAAAGGGACAAAAGTTAATAAATGGCCTGTAAGTTGGAGATAGATATATAAAATATATATTACTATAAGCTCTTAAGATATGCATGACTTCAGTTTTTAGTGTATTTCAACTCAGGTGGTAATCATGGGCCCATGTCTATATTTTCCCTCTTATACATTATCAGACTATTTCTTTCCCTGTGAGGCGGGATAATCAGCATGAAGGCAGTTTCTCATTGTACAGCTCAGGAAATCCGGTGCAGCTGATGCGTCGGTTGCTGGTTGAATTCAGAGTCTCCTAAAATGCTCCAATGTTTGCTTTTTAGACATCTTCCTTCTCCGCAATGGGATAATTCCCCCACCTAAAACACCCCATTTGGGGACCCACTTCCCCTCTCATTGCCACCATCTGTCCCTTACACTGAGGAATGAAATCTCTTGAAACAATTTTTATTTCTCCACTCCGAGTCAAATAAGATGTCAAATACAAACACTCTAAAGTGTTTTATGCTGTATTTTTATTAGTACAGTACTCTGTTCTTGTTGCCAGATTTCTGATCTGCAAATACAGCGAAAGATAATTACTTACGTCTTCCATTTTTCTTAAAAATTTGAGGGAAAGGGCGCCTGGGTGGCTCAGTCCGTTAAGCGTCCGACTCTTCATTTTGGCTCAGGTCATGATCTCAGGGTCGTGGGATGGAGCCCCGCACTGGGCTCCGTGCTCAGTGGGGGTGTCTGCTTGAGATTTTCTCTCTTCCTCCCCCTCTGCCCCTACCTCCCACAATCTCAATATCTCTCTAAAATTTAAAGTAATTAAAAAAAAAAAAGTTAAGGGAAAAAGATGAGCCACAAGATTTTCTTTTTAAATGCACATCTTTATTTTCAGTGTTACTATTCGTGATAGCTGACATTCAGAGAGAATGGATCCTCTCTCTTGCCAAAAGGTGTTGTGTAGAATTCCAAGGAGTCAGGGTCTGCCCCCTGGACTCACGCAGACCTCAGATTCCAGCTAGAAGAGCGGGTATTTGTGTTAGTCCTTATTGATGGCCTAGTGACAACTGTTGGTTGGAGGAGACCTGTCAGACTCTAAGACAGAGCATAGCATGCGGGAAGAGGGACCCCGGGGCCAACAGCTGCTCTGTTTACTTGCAGATGACATATCCACTTTGCAAAGACATTCTGCGGTTATTGATCTCCCACTGAACCTTTAAGAATCAAACAAAACCACTCAGTCTTATTTTTTTATTTTTATTTTTTTTTAAGATTTTATTTATTTATTAGAGACACAGCGAGAGAGGGAACCCAAGCGGGGGGAGCGGGAGAGGGAGGAGCAGACTCCCCGCGGAGCAGGGAGCCCGACGCGGGGCTCGATCCCAGGACCCTGGGACCATGACCCAAGCCCAAGGCAGACGCTTAACAACGGAGCCACCCAGGCGCCCCTAAAACCACTCAGTTTTATTCATTCCATCAACGGTTTCCAAGGGCAGTAAAGACCCTTCATTGGCAGAGCCCTGAGCAGGATGACTTTTGCTGTTTTGGGAAAGAGAGAAATAGTGTCGTGTAATCAGTCAAGAGTGAGAGCCCGAGATGGCTTTCCCTGCACTGAAGGCCCGACCTGCTACTTTGCCACCTTGGGCCAGTTACCCGATGTCTCCATGCTTCCGTCCTCTCGTGTATGAAATGGAAATAAGGGGGCGGGGGTGAAGGTGTCGTGACATTGCCAGGATTGAACAGATGGATGCATGCAGAGCATTTGCATCCATGCCCAGTCCAGCGTGAGGAGTCACCATTGACTGCTAGTATTCTGTGGGCTCTTTGTACAGGGTCTGGGACTTCTGCGTGAGCCGTGGACAGGACCGTGCGGCACCGAGGTCGTATAGCCGAGTTTCCACCATGGCATGCCAGGAGAGCATTCAGACCCTGCCGGGTATCTGTGCCTCATCCTCCACACGCCTTCACAGAGGCGAGGGGAGAATGTCGAGGCTAGGATTTCTAATCACAGCTAACCACATCCCTGACCTCACCGGATGATATGTCAAATGAGGCACCTTGTTCCTGTTTTGACTCAGAATCACAGCAAGAGGCAGCTAAATAAAACTGGAAAGACTCACAAGTGCCTCTCAGATCAGTGATGAGGGCAATCACACTGTCCTTGCTAAAGAGATTCACTCTTTTTTTCAGCAGAAACCTTGCTTCGGGCCACGCGCCCTTCTCCCTGGATGGCCGTGCCACTGTCGACCCCCTAGTGCTGATGGTGGGACCTGTGGCCCCCGGGGTTGACCGTGGGGGGTAAAGAAGGTGATGCTGGGAGAGCCTGGCTCAGTAGCCAGCACACAGTAGGTGCCTTCTGCCTTACTCCTTCCTCCCTGGGGAAGGGGAACACTGCCGAGGAGCACAAGTCTTCTGAATGCTGAAAACCTTTCATACCCAAAGTCTTGGCTCACCAGCAGTGGCGGCCTTACCAGGGAGCTTGTAAGATGTACGCAGCCTCCTGGACCTACTGCGCCATCGTCTGCCCTGTAACGACGTCCTTGGTGATTTCTTTGTGCATTGAAGGGTGAAAAGCACTGGTGTGAACTCACCCAGCTAGGCATGGAACCAGGGATGGGTCTTGTTAAGTTCATGCTGGTGACTTGCTGAGCTAATCAGCCCAAGAGGAACACATTTGGTCTAAAACCTGGTCATTTGGAAATGAGCTAAAGATCCTGTACTCAGTCCATTCATGTATCGCGTAGCAGAACTCCCCAGTGAAATGTGGGTGACTTTCAACAGTGATAGTAAAGGTCATTCTTTTATATACCCACAGACTTTGCGCTAGCAGATGCATGTAGATATCAAGCACCTTTTAGGTAACATTTCTCTGGCTTCCATGATAATGTTTATGTTAATTTGTCTGTGGGGTTGT